GTGTCACAGGTACGTTTTGGGCGGGAACTGGGGGATAAGGGAGAAAAACGGGAACATAGATAATGAGGAAGCTGGGGGTAATGTAGAATTTTGTAAAGGAGACAAAGAACGTGCATATCTCGGCGAAGTCGGATTGGTAGCCATTTCAACTTAGTCCGAAATTCAGAGACACGGTCATATTTCCGTAAACCGAATATGAAACGGATTGCCAGATTTTGTAGGCGCTCCAGTTTGTTAAGCAGCTCCTCAGTAGCATCCAAATAACAAACATCGGCATAGTCGAGAAGAGGAAGTAGTAAAGACTGAGCAAGCATAACCTTGGTATTGAATGGCAAGAAGAATTGAAGCCGCTTGAGAGAGTGGTAGGAAAAATGCATGCGTCGACTAACCTCATTTGCCTGCGGTCTCCAAGACAGTGTATGATCAATTATCAGACCCAGGTTCTTTGTATTATCAGCATATGGAAGACTCACTCCATTATACGAAACCTTGGCGAGATTATCAATGTCCAACCTACAGTAAAGTCTGTTGCTACCTACGATTATTGCCTGTGATTTCGTTGGGTTTATAAGCAAACCAAACGCATCAGCCCAAGACTTCACCACAAGAAGATCTTTATTAATATCTTCAATGGCAGATAGGGTATTAGCTACATCAAAGTGTCGATAAATTTGCACGTCATCAGCGTATAAGTGGAACGGAGGAGTTATTCGTTTTGTGAGTTCATTTATGAACAGCGAGAAGAGAAGAGGTGAAAGTACACCACCCTGAGGCACCCCTGAAGTCAAAGGAGACCAATCAGAATAAGTGTCATCATGCTTGATCCTTTGAAGGCGATTGCGGAGGTAGTCTGAAAACCAAGCGATTGCAGCAGGGGAGAAGTTAAGAGAGCAGAGAATGGCAAGAAGGATGTCATAGTCGACAGAGTTGAAAGCACTGCTGAAGTCTAATAACACAATAATGGTAAACAATCGGTTATCCATGGCGTGGCGAATATCATCCGTGACGTTAAGTAAGGCAGTTACTGTGCTATGACCAGGACGAAAACCGGATTGATATGTACTTATAAGATCATAACGAGAGACAAATGAGAAAAGTTGTTTATGAACAGTGCCTTCAAGGACCTTGGACAGGAATGGTAGGATGGAGATAGGACGAAATTGGGAGAAAGCCGTGGGAGTAGCGGATTTAGGGATGGGAATGACGTGGGCTAATTTCCAGTCGCTAGGAAAGACGCCAGTTGCAAGTGAACAATTCATAATATGTGTGATAATTGATGTAACGTCATCCAGGATAGGTATCAGCATGTCACGGCAAATACCATCTTCACCCACGGCCTTGGAAGTAATGGATAGGATACTTTTCTTAACTTCCCCCTCAGTGACTTCGCGAAAAGAAAAAGGCTCATAAGCAGGACGTGCAACAGTGCCCAGAGAGGTGAGCGTGGAAGTCTTGATAGAGTCAGCAACTGTAAATGGTGAGTTGGTAAAGTATTTGTTGAGTGAATTGAGATCGGGTAAGTCAACAGTACAGTCACGATCTTTACCTACACCAATTGATCTCAAGAACTTCCAGGTTTGACCCATAGACAAGCCTTCCATCGACGAATGGATGTAACGCCGTTTGGCGTCACGACACAGTCTGTTGCAAAGATTACGCAGCAGTTTATAGGAAAGCAAATTATCGTCACCTGGAAACCTCCTAAGGATCGACTTGGCCTTGTCCCTACGTTTCATGATTTTCTTTATTGATGGTGTAAGCCAAGGCGCAGGCAGATGCTTAACGCGCACTGGTCTGAGTGGGGCATGAGAGTCATACAGCTTTATTAACAGATTGTTAAAAATTTTTATCTTCTCATTTACCGTGTTAGCTTCAAACAGTCAATATTAGAAAAATCCTCTCTCAAACGATCAGTTTTCTGATCGTTTGAGAGATTGTTCAGATTTCTTCCAGTAACTAAGATTTCTTGTTGTGTATAGATAAAGAAGGATACCAATGAACGCTATTGCTATTAATTGTAGCATTTTTTTTCACTGGTTTTATTTAGAATATCAACAAAATTAAAACTTATGTTCGAACGATAAAGTCACAAAAATAATTTTGGCGCGGCCTTTTATGATAACCTTTTCTACATCACAAATTATCTTTTGCAAAGATATCGTTGACATAACAAGTCAATAACTTACGCGTAACAATGCCTGTAATCTATTTATTTATTTATGGAAAACTAACAGCTTCAACCATTTAATAAAAACAGGGAAAGAAACAACAACTGCCTCTGTGGCCGAATGGTTACCATGCCGGACTGCCACGCAGAGGTCCCGGGTTCGATTCCCGTGCCGGAAGTAATATTTGTATGGCCGTTATTATTAACATAAAGTCAATTACAGGTTTCCACCTGTACCTTCAGACAAATCTAACATGAGCATGAAACAAACGAACAATATTTGTTATGGTAACAGTATTTGTTAACAACATGCACTTACATACATAAATATAACAACCCAATACCTACCTGCGCCAACAGTCACAAATTATTAAATAAATAGAGAGTCCATGAGTTTACGCTTTAGCGCATCAACATTACAATTGAATATATCAACATTCAGGTCATGATTGCTCAGCACACTATCCAAGCTCTTGCTAGCTCTACATTGAAAATTGTTTTGTCTATAAGGGAACTGAAATAGGGTGATAGTGCCTCATGGAACGCGTAGTAGTAACACGTAATATTATATATACCTTGTAATAAATAAAAGTGCCAGACAATTGCGTTGATCTGGTGGAGGCTGAGAAATTTTCTACTATAATTCCAGGGCACGGCAAGTCATCATCATCGTAAGGGACTTTTTATATTGGCGAAAGACGAGCAAATTCAAGCGAGACAGGTGAGCGCGCATCGCGCGAACACGCCAGCTGCTATTATTGAAGCACTATAGTGTTGATTATTACTTTTTCTTGCAGTCATAATAATTTGGTAAGTCAAGAGCACGTCTAGCTTTGTACTTTGGACCGTTCTTATCGTAAGCGGCATACAGATGGATTTAAATCTTAAGTGTCAAGCTTGACGTGCTCTTGACCCTGTACCTACATTTTTGTCATGCTTACCCGTCAACAAAGAAGTAATTTATTACCCGTTGTGAACTTAATTTTAAAAACGTACCCTAAAGTAATTACGAATCTTTTTCCAGGTGACATTGATAACTTAAGTGATGTCCTAAGTCTTAACTCATTTTGTATCAGATGCAGAAACTCGTTAAATGTAAATAGGTCTAACAATTGCAGGTAGGAACAATTTTTTTAGGACTATATATTTTGCTCGTTTGCAAAACAGCACATAAGTAGTCGCTCTTTTCCAGTCGATTAGTTGAGAAGCGCGCTCACGGCGTCGTTGTCGCTGCGAAATCGCGGAGACCAGCTGCGCTTTCGGCTTCTATCGCTATGAACTCGGTCGCAAATCGCCAGTATGATAAAGCCCTAAATGTACCTACCTACATTGGATAATAAACATAAGGTCACATACATGAGGTATAATATGATTGTAATTTTACTACCAACTAATTAAAGAAATTGCTATAATGATATTTTACGACATCATGGTACGTATTGAAAACTTATGAATATTTCATTTTACTTTGCAATCTGAAAGCGATGTTTGAAAAAACAAACTTTTGAGTTTGAATTGACTATGGACCCTGACCTACCCCTAACTCTTGTCTACCATTCTTGTATGAAATTTGAAATTTCTTCTAAAAGTGGCGACCACCCAGAAATCCTGTACAAATTGATAGCTGGTGTTAAAACAAATATTATTTGATAAAATCGTCTTGATCGATGAAATTACGATTTCATTCCGCTATAATGCGAGAAGGTAACGACGACTGACATCAAACCCAAACTCTAAAAGTTGCCTGATTCAGATGGTACCTATGCTTATTTGACGGCCTTGCCCTAGCGTAATTAACTTGTGACCGTCAGGATGGCTGGTCGCGTGTGGCGTCTGGCACTGAGTGTATATTCAAGAATTGCTACCTTTTATAAATAATTGTTACCTTTGATATATTCTGAGAAATTTAAACAAATAATTGACCAACCATTCTGATATCAGGATGGTTGATCGCCACTTTGTTCAGCATGAATGGAGCAGATTTTCCAGTATGTATTACCAATAATTGCTATCTATTTGCTACTGTTCTATTTAATTTGTGAAAGTATCAAATAGGTAGCAAATATTGGTAATACATACTTCTGGAAAATCTGCTTCCTTCATGCTGAACAAAGTGGCGACCAGCCGTCCCGATGTCAGAATGGTGGTCAATCACATTTTTAAAGTTCTCATAATATATCAAAGGTAGCAATTATTCAGAAAAGGTAGCAATTCTTGAATGTACACTCGGTGCCAGACGCCTCACGCGACCAGCCATCTTAACGGTCACATTAACTTTAAATAACATCACCTGCAGAGATTTCTTCATACTTCAAGATGTTCGAAAGATTCTCCCAAATAAATGTCCCCTTTACACAAAACATAATAATATTTTCATAAATACAATTTTAAACACGTGATTGAAGATATTTAAAGTACTTGCATACAAATTAGTCAGGTGATACTGTACTTTAGTATGGTGTTATGTAACATGAATCACAGAGTGAATACAATAGTCTTTACATTTGTCTTTAATCATGAATTTATAACAACTACCTCTTACTTATGTACACAAAAGGGACACAAAGATTTAAAGTGATTAAATATCATTCTGATTTTAACATCTATTCTCTTTAAATTCTCTATATATAATAACTGCCTCCGTGGCCGAACGGTTACCATGCCGGACTGCCACGCAGAGGTTCCATGTTCGATTCCCGGGCCGGGAGAAATAGTTGTATGGCCTACAATTATTTCTCTCGTGAGTTTGGGTGTAATTTGTGGTTGTCTATGTGTGTGTCCATGACACCCGCGACACAGGGTTTCCCTAGTGCGGGGCTATGTTGAGTGTATGCGTCATTTATTATTTATTATTATTATTATTCTATAGAGAATTTTACAAAAACATAACAAACTTCAACTTGTGCATTCTATGCATGGTTATTACCATGCTATCTAAATATAATTTAGAATACTTTTCCTATTCACACATAATTAACACTAAAATCCACACTTTACAAATTATAATTATTACCCTATGAATGCAAGTGACCTGACATTCAATTCCAAAGCAAACAGATATATTTGCAAAATTATATACATATATGTATACTCAGCAACAGAATTAAGAGACCAAAAATGTAAACAATCGTCACAGCCAAAGTGTCATCTTCAATTTTTTGAACATCATAAACATTGTCATCATCAACCCTTTTATACGTCTCACTGGTGGGCACGAGTCTCCTTCCAGACGAGGGTTTAGGCCATAGTCCACCATGCTGGCCCAATGCAGGTTGGGGACTTAACACATTTTCCGAGGGTTGGGAACCTTCTTCGACATGCAGGTTTCGTCACGATGTTTACCTTCACCCAAAAGCTCATGTTAAATTCCAAATTAAATTTCGAGAAACTCAGAGGTGCGAGCCCAGATTTGAACCCACAACCCTCTGCTTGAGAGGTAGTAGGTCAAACCATTAGGCTACCACGATTTCATAAACATTGGTCTTGAATTCCATCACTGTGTATAGATAGTAATAATTGTCTAATTATACAGTATCCACTTCAATGTTTATTCTAAATACTGATGCAGGGTCAGCTAATTCTGTTCTTACTGCATTTTCAAACTTTTTAAATATCATAGAGAACTCCATAATGTTCTGTGGTTTGGATTCTATCCATAACTTATCAAATTCATAAAATAAATAGCAATAAAATCTATGAAATAAGTTAATATCAGGCAAGTGTCTTTTAGCATTAAACATATAGGTTTTGGCTGACCCATCCTTTAATAAGTAGTATGCCATTGAAGTTAAATTGATACCAACTATTGCAAATGTATAGCCATACTTTGGGTGATGAGAGTGACTCAACACGTGGCTAGAGGCTTGTGGATACTCAGTTGCGAAAAACAGTAGATTCTCTAAACCAAGAAGTCCCATACCACGGAAGTCTGTTTTTGGATCTTCACCCTGTGAACAGAAAATGGACAATATAAGCAGGAGTTTTCTAAACACACATACAATATTACATATTTTTTATGGTTCATATAAAATTTTATACAACTAAAATAAGGGTAAAAAAATTACCTGGAAGCCAATGTACTGCCATTGCTTCGTAATTCGGCCTATCAAATTTTCGTTAGGCACCAGCAAGGTCCATAATTTCAATAGCTTTTCCTCATGTTCCAGGTCAGCACTATTGAATTGCATTTCGCGCAGCATTTCTACATCATTCATTAAAAGTCTGTAGCTCCAAATTTGCTCCAAACTACGACGGAATGATATAACAAAAGATTCATGAATCTGAGGCTTGATTTTCTTCACCCTGAGAATGATTCCAATTGATGGGGTCAAAATCTCGCGGAAATTAGCAGGAACAAATCTCCGCTCTGCCACCATACCGTCCAGGTACAAAACAACTTCTTTAATGTCTTTCGTACGCGACAGCATCAACGACTTCTCAACATTGCATGTTCTCTTGGTACCAGCTGGGTCACCGTAACAAATTCTTTGCAATTCACATAAACGTGTGGTTTTCCTCAAAAACCATTTGATGAGCGGTCGTAGGTACCATTGCAATACTGACCAAATATCGAAAAATGGCATTTTTAAACACCATTTATACGTAAATTTTTGAGATTCAGTTTGCAACTCTCGTTGTCATGACGACTTAGATTTGACTTATTGACATTTATTTTACTAAAAGGTTTTTTTCTCGTTGAATCAATTTTTTGTCAGTGACAGCAGGGTTACCTCGGTTGGGGACTTGTATTAGTAGTTTGTGGTTGGGGACTTGAGGATGGAAAAAAATAGTCTTAAGGTTGGGGAGTGTGACCTTATCGAATGCATGTAATTGCATGCAATACTCTAAGTAATAGTATGTATGTGTACCTCTACCTGCCTCTGCGGTAATATTCCTTTGTTTTCTAATGTGGAGATAAATAAAGGTATTTATTTTTGTGACTAAAGCGGCAACATGCATGATGTCCTGCGTGAAATGGAATACCCTTTTTCTGTGCAATACACGGACCTATTTCGAATGTTTCTAAACTATTTTTCTTCATTCTCCTCCAAAAATTAAAAAAAAAAATGGAAAAATGTTCTTTCGGTGCCGGTGGCTCACGTACTACGTTTAGAAATATCTTTTGAAGTTTTAGTTAGCGTGAATTATAAAACAAACGTGTACAGGTAATAGAAAAATGAGATTTAAAATAATCTCACAACAGCGAAAAAAACCAATGGCTCCATCGTTTTCGTTCAGTAACTTCAACTCTCGACAGATGTCTAAAATGTCAGAAATGTGGAAAATTTAATGGAAAAATATTAGAAAAAAGGATCTGTACGGTGCGTAAACACCTAAATTTTACAGGACATTGGCGAAATCGCCATTTTTTTTGTATAATTTTTATAATAATACTAAACTACTGTACATAGTTATTTTTACTTGACATTGGCAAAATCATTGATTATTTCGATGGGGCCATAACATTTAAAAGAAGAAGATTAGAAAAAAGCGCGGGAAACGAGTTCGTACGAGGCGGGAGAGTTTTTCGTAAGGAAAAAATTATTCTTGTTTTTACTGTAATAATTGATCAGTTGAGGCTATAGTTTGTAAATACTTGTTGTAGGTAGTTTATACAACTGTAATCTTTTAGTTTGTTTCTGTAATTCTGGTAAGCTTGTAAATTTTTTTCACTTGATAGTCGTTGTATGAACGACCCTCCTGACTTCGACGCGGGGGGTTTGAGCTCAGGCCTGAATCCCCTTGTTGCAAGTTATATGACTCTCTCTCTCTCTCTCTCTCTCGTCTGAGCGTTGTCCCGGTTACGTCCTCAGCAGTGTTGCTGCGGAGCCCGGGGTCCGCTTTCCTACTTTTTCTCCTCCACTTTGCACGGTTTTTGCAAGTTATATGACTATTTCGGATAATAATTTGAACAACACTGTTACCGTTTCAAATGATGATCAGAGTGGTATGGACAGGGATACATCTAATTTTTCTGCATCAATAGGTAAAGGATCACGTAAACGACGTTATCAACCTAAAATTTGCAGACATTGTGATAAACGAAGGAAGAAGAAGGCCGATTCAACTGATAATAAAGATTCATATTGTCTTTGCCATAATACTTCAATTGATCTGAACGAGGAATCCCACACCCACAATTCGAGTGTCACTTCTCCACCAATATTTGTTAACCGATGACTGTTCAACCAACAGTTTCTACAGAAACCACACAACAATCTTTTGGTCGGAAGGAGAACCTTCCTACAGATGTGCAACCATATGTTGTTCATGTTCAAAGAATAGAATCTTCTCCAAATAGTGGAACTACTCTGCATTCAATGACTTTCGGAAACTTTCTAAAGAAAAATAATATCAAAAACATTGTTCTCGGCAGTGTTAAGCGAATAGGTAGAAATCGGTGCGCTGTGGCTTTCTCTACTTACAATGCTGCCAATGATTTTATTACTAATAAAAATTTGCCAGAGTCTAATTTCAAAGCATTCATTCCCACTTTCAGTATTACCAGGATGGGTCTTATTTGTGGTATTCCTAATGATTGGACCGTAGATGAAATTCAAGAAAATGTGTCTGTTCCAGTACCTTGTGGAAAAGTTATAAAAGTGAGACGACTAAATTAGAAAGTTGAAGTTGGTGGATCTTCTTCATGGAAGCCTTCTCAATCCGTAGTACTTACCTTTGATGGTCAAGTTCTTCCCAAATATGTTACAATTCTGTACCTGTAGATATATACACTTTTCCTACAATTCAGTGTTACAAGTGCTGCCATTATGGCCATACTAAAACATTGTGTCGGTCAGCTCCTAGATGCTATAAATGTGGCCAAGGTCATACAGGAGATTCATGTTGAATTTGTTGTTGATGAAGATGCAGCTTGGTGTGTCATATGTTCTGGATTTCATTTTGCCGCAAACAAAGCATGTCCCGAATTTAATCGCCAAAAACAAATTAAACACACCATGGCACACAGCTGTATCTCTTACATGGAAGCCTGTAAACTTCACCCTCCTGTCTCCAAATTATATGCAGATGTTTTAAATACAGCCCCTTCTAGAGCAATACAATCTAATAGACCAAGTACCGCTACCAGCAATATTAGTCCTGTGTCATAAAATAAAACCGTATTTTTAAAACCACGTTCTCCTCCGAAAACATCCAAAGGCTATATATGTATAACCGTGCTGCTCACAATGCACTAATTAAAGATTTTCAAATCCCTGCACCTTCTAATGGTTGTGCTCTGACATTTAGAACAGAGGATGCAGAATCTAATCAATCCCAAGTCCTTGACCTATTGTTAAATTTCTTCAACTCGCCAATTAAAAGTAATGTCTTAAAACCGTCTCACGTTGTCTCTTTGAATAAAATTTTTAATAAGTCTCCGAATGATAATGGTTTCCAGGATAATATAATGGAATTGTCGGAGTATAGTTTCTAAAAAAGTGACTTAATTTATGTTCTTAGTGTGGTTAATAAATATAACCCTTTAGTTATAGCTTTATCAGAAACTTGGCTGAAACCAGATTTTAATTTTAGAATTTCTGGCTTTACTTGTTTACGTGATGACAGATCTGACGGATATGGCGGTGTTGCCATTCTCGTCAAAAATTCTGTTCCATTTTCCCGTAAACCTTTTTCTTCTCTAAATTCTGATAATATAAATATTGTAGGTATTTGTATTGAAAATATTTCTGTTGTTTCCATTTACCTTTCTCGTCCCTCTGATTCGGTTTTCAATGAAATTAATAACATATTAATTAGTCTTCGACGACCATTTTTGGTTCTTGGAGATTTTAATTGCCACCATCGTTCGTGGAGCAGTGGAGTGACTAATATGCTGGGGAATCTTTACCAGAAATGTTAGATACCCTTAACCTCTGTTTTAAATTCTGGTGCTCCAACTCGACGCACAAACCCCAACGAAAACATCCGCGTTGTTGAGTTGGCTATTTGTATTCCGTCTTTGGCTTCTTTCATCTCCCCTTCCTTACTCTTTTGGCAGTGATCATTTCCCTTTGATTATGTCGACTCTTATTAAAAACAAAGCTGCTCCTAGACGTAAGCCTTGTTTAAAGCATAAATTACATGACGCTGATTGGACTACATTTAAAACTATGGTTGAAACGTAGAATTTCTGAATTCCCTAATAATGTCTCTGGCGCAGAATCTGAAAGAGCTGTGGAATTTGCAAAGTGCTTAATAGATGTAGCAGATCAATTGTTTCCCATTCAGGATACTTCTTCGAGGAAGATTCCTTTTCCACCATGGTGGGATGCTCAATGTGTTGAAGCTGTATGTAGGAGGAAAATGGTAGCCAGAGAGTATGCTCAAGATATGTCTGATGAAAACTTAAAAATTTTACAAGATCTACTACTACTCTACTAGACTATCAAATTCACTTACGAATTACTCCGTGAGAAAAAACAACAAGACTGGAAGACATTTTTACATCACTATCTCCGAATACCTGCCCATCATTAATTTGGCGTAACATAAAACGTTTCAGATCTGCACTCAATCATCAGTCATGTACTACTCTTTCATGATCTATAGCAGACAACTTTTTAGACCGGTTGGCCCCGCCTTCTGTCCCTGAGGGAGAGCTATTTCTTTCTCCTAATTCTGTAACCAATTCAATTGATTCCTAATTAGATTCACGCTTCTCTATTTCCGAGTTAAAAGGAGTTCTTTCATCCGTCAAGGATTGCCCCGGAGAAGATAGTATACCATAGTCCTTTGTATCACATTTAAGCGACCCTTCATTACAATATTGTTTAAATTTAATTAACAACATTATGTTGTTTGGTAACGTTCCACTTTCATGGAGATCTCAAGAAGTTCTACCTATTTTAAAACCTAACAAGCCCTCTGACGATGCAGCATCGTACAGACCTATAGCTCTTTCGTCTGTATTATGCAAGATATCAGAACACCTAGTTCAAAATCGTCTTGACTGGTTTATTGAGAATCATCGAAAGTTGACTGACCGCAAATTTGGATTTCGGAAGGGAAAAAGTACATTAGACAGTATCAGTATTCTCACCACTGATATCCGAATAGCCTTCTCCTGCAACAAGTGCTTTGTAGCCGCTTTTTTAGATATATCAATTGCTTATGATAACGTCATAATCTCCATCCTTAAACGAAAACTTATATGTAAAATATATGTAAAATAGAATTATGTGTTCCTTATACTCTGATTAACTTCATTATTAATCTTCTATCCGAAAGAGTTATATCACTAATACCCCATAATTCAAATATTTCCCGCACTGTTTATAAAGGCGTACCCTAAGGTTCAGTCCTTAGTCCACTTCTATATAACGTTTACGTATATGATTTAGAATCCTCTCTTAATGGTAATACTGTTAATATTTTACAACATGCGAATGACTTGTTGCTATACTCTGTAGATAAAAACTTTGATAATTCTTGCAATATTTTAACACCTCTCTGACCTTGTTAACATGGACAGAAACGGGCTTGAATTATCAATTGCTAAAAGTGATGTGGTAGTTTTTTCAAGAATGCGATCAATCCCTCCTGTAACTAACTGTAAAGTATAATAATTTGCCTTTACCCTTTAAAAATCATGCCTAATTTTTGGGTATTATATTCGATAGTAAACTAACTGGTCTTCCTCACTTTGAGTTTATAAGTTCTAAATGTGAAAAACTCTTAAACATGATGAGATGTCTATCAGGAGTGTGGTGGGG